ACTGAAATACCTGCATTGTTTGTATGTACTTAATTTGTCTACAATTTGATAGATATTCTGTACATAAACAGTATCTTCTTCTGATGTCACAGGGGTTCTCTCCCCTTCCTCTGCCCTGGCTTACATTGATGAAGTATTTTAGTTTAGAATCTTCACTTTTACATTTTGTTTCTAATCATTGTCTCAGTGCCTGTCAGTGTGTGACCGCATGGGTACAATGTGTGAAACCCATTTCTGGTGTCCCCTGCCGCGATGTTGCTGGAATATTGCTAAAAGCGGCGTAAAACTAAACTCAAGTCAGTCAGTCAGTCAGTGTGTGAAGCCTATTTCTGGTGTCCTCCTCTGTGATATTGCTGGAAACCTCACTCACTCACTCACTCACGCAGTGCCTGTTTATCCCATTCCTGTCCTTGACACAACTTCAGGAGAGTGAACTGCCCCTGGGTGATGGACTTGCTGCCTGCTGGACTTGCTGCCTGCTGTAACAAGTACTCATGGACAATTGTGCTGATTGTATAATTGTCCAATATAATGCCAATCAGTTGTATATTTAGATGGTATCACCATACTGTTTGCAATTGTATTGATTTTTGCATTGACATTTGCCACAATATTGTGATGCAAGTGTGGACATTTGAAGTGGGTCTGCCTGCCTGTCTGCCTGCCTGTCTTCCCTTCTGCCCGTCTGCTTGCCCGTCTGTCTAGAGTTTGTCCATTGAGAAAGCAAGCAGCAGTTAAACATCAGAGCTGACCAGTCCTTGTTGTATCCTAATAAGGGGCGGTGGGGTAGCTTAATGGTTAAAGCTCTGGCTCGTCATGCCGAAGACCCGGGTTCGAATCCCCACATGGGTACAATGTGTGAAGCCCATTTCTGGTGTCCCCCGCCGTGATGTTGCTGGAATATTGCTAAAAGCTGCGTAAAACCAAACTCAGTCCGTCAGTATCCTAATAATGCCAGGCAGGGACACATCGAGTCCCATCTTGTGATGTCCTTCGGTTGACGTTGCCATGGCTACATGTCATTCATGGTATGATTATTATCTGTAAATCTGACATTGTACAAAGGCAAATTTTCTTATGGTTTGATTCTTCACCAGTACTATTTCTCCAGGATTGGAACTGTATTCCTGAGGTGTAACCACAGCTGACTTCACCAGTGCTATTTCTCTGGGATTGGAGCTATATTCCAAGGCGTAACCATTGCTGACTTCACCAGTACTATTTCTCCAGGATTGGAACAGTATTCCCGAGGTGTAACCACAGCTGACTTCACCGGTGCTATTTCTCCAGGATTGGAGCTGTATTCCTGAGGTGTAACCACAGCTGACTTCACCAGTACTATTTCTCCAGGATTGGAACAGTATTCCCGAGGTGTAACCACAGCTGACTTCACCGGTGCTATTTCTCCAGGATTGGAGCTGTATTCCGAGGCGTAACCACAGCTGACTTCACCAGTACTATTTCTCCGGGATTGGAGCTTATATTCCAAAGCTGACTTCAACAACTATTTCATTGCTGACTTCACCAGTACTATTTCTCCAGGATTGGAGCTGTATTCCGAGGCGTAACCACAGCTGACTTCACCAGTACTATTTCTCCAGGATTGGAACTGTATTCCCGAGGCGTAACCACAGCTAACTTCACCGGTAATATTTCTCCAGGATTGGAACAGTATTCCCGTGGTGTAACCACAGCTGACTTCAGCAGTGCTATTTCTCCAGGATTGGAACTGTATTCCGATGCGTAACCACAGCTGACTTCACCAGTACTATTTCTCCGGGATTGGAGCTGTATTCCAAGGCGTAATCATTGCTGATTCACCAGTACTATTTCTCTGGGATTGGAGCTGTATTCCAAGGCGTAACCACAGCTGACTTCACCGGTGCTATTTCTCCAGGATTGGAACTGTATTCCAAGGCGTAACCACAGATGACTTCACCGGTGCTATTTCTCCAGGATTGGAACTGTATTCCGATGCGTAACCACAGTTGAGTTCACCAGTGCTATTTCTCCAGGATTGGAACTGTATTCCGAGGTGTATCTATCAAAGGATCGTCATTTGCTGGGTATCAATGTCGGAAATTATTTCTATGTAGCTAAGCTGGTGTATCATCTGACACCTGTAGCCACATATTGCTGCCTTTGAAACAAGATCGGAGACCTTAAATCAGGAACATACGATTGTTGACTGAACATTTCTGAGCCTAACTATGCTGGACAGAGTTGGTCAGATTTCTGCTGATGGGGTCAAATGTCCTTCAACATGATAGCCTTGGAAGCAACAGACTTGTACATACATATGTTGTCCTGTTAATCAACTCACCGTTGTGAGCTTTCAAAGATCTATGTCCTTGATATTCTCACATAGCTACCTAATACGATTGACATAATATTGCCATTAATTGTTTGACCTTTTCTGGGTTAGTCAAAAAGTAGGATTCCTTTGGAGCTCCAGAAGCCATCAAATGCCATCTGATGGAACAGACTTTGATGTCTTCTGCAGAGTAACATAAGATGTTCTCACTGATTCGATGGTTGTTTCATGTTATGGTAGTCCATATTCCGAAACTCATCCATAGTTACAAGGTGCTAACCGAAATCAGATGGAAATTTTTACAAGAGGTGATGAATCTTGAGCATTTATGATCAGGTGTTGGAAGCCTTAGGACGTAAAGTGCTGAGATCTTGACTTGACCAGATCATTCCTCAGAATGTTCTCAACTCTCCAGTGCGTGAGGTGAGGCGTGGACCTTCTGTAATCAGGTCATCAATTTTATGAACATTTTCCTTCATGGTGGCAGGTCCCCCTCATCTTGGATCACCATCTCTTCTTTCCCATCTCAAACTTCTCTGCTTACCTCAAGCAGCTGCAAAGAAGAGCATCAACCTTTTAGACGAAAGGCTGTTGGAGTTGGCCTTTTCAATTGGAGACGGTCGTCATATTTTGGTGTATTATCACCAAGAGAGAATACCTGGTCACTATGATGCCTACAGGCGTATGCAGCCATGAAAGTTTCATGCTTTATGCATGCAGATCGTTATCGTTGTACGAGGGGCATTAAAAAAGTAGTCAGCCTAACTATATTCTCAATGTCCAATGTTTTAAAAGCTTCCATTTTACTTTGAAGGAATCATTAACAAAGCCATATCCAAAATTTCACATATGTAGGTAATGTGGTTAACACATTGGAGTATAATATTTCTTTAAAAATTGCAGAAAATGAAAAAGGATCAGTCATTATTGGTACCTCTTGGATAATGGTATGCCCTCAGATAACATCATATAAAATATGTTCAGTATAGTATTGGATGACTTCCCATCATAATCAACATGCAAAGATTGGGATTCCTTGATTTATGTTTAGACGGGGGCTGTTTTTTAAGGACACCCCCATTTTAATCTTTCAAAAACATTGTGTCCAGATATTCAAGCTGGTACTGTTTACAATATATTGAGAGCTGACACTTGTGTGACCATTCAGTATTTAGTTTGAACACTTGGCATCATGTATGAATAAGTGAAAAGTTGTGTCCTTATGATTACGTCATCTGAAAGGGGTGGGGTGGGGGGGTCTCCAAAATAAGCTCTTTCAGTAAACTTGAAGTGGGGAGTCACTTTAACAAGCGATTATGATTTCAAATTGCCTTTTTATGCACTTTAATATCTAAGTTTGATTTTAACGGACTTCTGCCTGTCTCAAACACACAAATGTTTCTTGCATATTTTGCTTCCTGAAGTTTGTGATGCATTTATTGTAGATTTTGCAAGATAAAAAGTCAAACAAAATGGGGATCGTGAGGCTGGAACATAGCAAAACCAATTTGCTTGAGGTTGACAGATAATATGTAGAAAAATGAAACTTAAAAAACAGCTGCATTTGTATCATATTCTAGGCGACACTGACTACTTTTTGAATGCCCCTGGTAATACACATTTTTCGAAATTAGATTTGGATGTATCTGAAAATGCCTATAGTTGATTCTTGGTGGCCAGGACCTAGATTTTCGAAGCTCTCTTAGCGCTAAGATAGTCGTAAGTTAATGGTAATGTATGGCACTTACGAATGTCTTAGTGCTAAGAGAGCTTCGAAAATCTAGACCCATTTCCTGAATGCAAAATAGTCTCCTTCTGACAAGTGTCCCAAAGAACAGTTTTAAGCATTGTGACAGACATGAAACCTAATCTCTGACGCATCTGAATGAGTCCACCATGTCAGATGTCAGGGAACTAGGTAATGATAGGGTCACAAACAGTTTTCTTGTGTATCATTCAACTGATATTCAAATACTCGATGCATATTTTGTCACCATTATGATATTTATAGGTGTCTTTCAGTGTTTAAGGTTATGAAACTTGAGTTGTGTATTCAATATATCAAGTTGACCATAATATTTATGAAGAAAATGTTTCATTTATTTAGACATGCAGCTGCCAGGGTTCAGGACACTCTCCTACCCAGAGTTCCATGCGGCAAGCCAGCATAGTACCTCTGCCACAGGCCAGAAAAATGTGATGATTCGTCACATCTTGCAATGTCCATTCAATATAATGTATAGATTTCTTTTACTCTTTTATTTTTGACGAGTCTACACATGTAACTAAACATCTTGGGTTCAGGAAAGACGTATTTCACTTCAAACTTTGAAAACATTTTCTGAAATTATCAAAATTTGTAAAATGAAATAATGATGACAGATGTGTAAATATTTTTAAAAAGAACATGAAAAGACACTGCACATGATGAGGATAATAGTTTCCAATTTGTCTGAGATGTCGTCAGTAGCAAGTGAAGTAAGCCATCATAAATGATGCTGTCCACTTATGTCAGTGAATAGATAAGTCAGATTTGTTTATTGTAGTGTGAGCTTCAGTACCTATGTGTCACTGATACCTTGTTATATTGGCTGTGTATTACATCAGTGTTTGTTTCCTGAACAATGCAAGTGATGGAGTATATGGTGATGACAACTGACCAGTGTTCTGTTCCCATCTGTTGTAGGTGTGGCGTGACCTGACAGAGTGGATGTGGCTCCCACACAGCACACCATGTCCGATGCTGACATCATGGCTGAGGCGTATGCTACCGACGGAAGCAGAACCCCAACACAGCCGGCTGTGGAAGAAAATGGGGAGGGAGGAGGAGCAGCAGACAAAGAACAACAGTCAGATGCCTTGGATATGTCTCATACACCTGTCTCCCGCTTTGGCCGCAAGTTCTCCAGTCCAAACCTTGTATCAAGTGCCATGATGAACAGCCTCCGCTATGGGCATAGTAACAAGCTGGCCTGTCGCTACTGTGGAAAGACTTTCTCACAGGCAGGCTACATAAAGGCGCATGAACGATTGCACACAGGAGAAAAACCATTTGCTTGTTCTGTGTGCGGTAAGCGATTTAGTGACCCAAGCAATTGGAAGAAACATGAGCGAGTCCACTCTAATCATAGTAACAACAATGTAGGAGGGGGTGGGGGTGGGGGTAGCAATTCTTCCAGTCCAAAGACCCCACCAGTTCCGCAGCCACAGTCATTGGTCAAGTCTGAGAGTGAAAGGAGCCTTGTAATTCGGGCAGCCAGCTCAATGATCACCTCCTCTTTGCAGCAAAGGATGCTCAATGGGACCGAGATGAATTCTCCCATTGTCTGCAAGCTATGTGGGAAGGTATTTTCTAGTCAAAGCAGCCTGAGCACTCACAAGAGAATCCATACAGGTGAGAGACCCTATACCTGTATATCCTGTGGCAAGAGCTTCACCCAGATAGGCACGCTACGGACTCACGAAAGGATTCACACAGGGGAAAAGCCCTATGTCTGCAAGGTCTGTGGGAGGACGTTTGCTCAGAGTGGAAGCTACAGGATGCATGAGCGGAGGCACATGACTGACACAATCCAGAGATGCCACATCTGCTACGCTACATTCACAAAATGGCAGGATTTGCAGCAGCACATGACAACCCACCCCCAGATGTCGGAAGCCATGATGGACTACTCTCCACCTGGGCTCGTGAGTCCAGGTCACCAGCCCAGTGACCAGAAAGAAGATCTGAGGGGTCCTAGTCTTCCTGTGTCCCACGCAGACACTATCCTGCTGGAGGGCGAGGGGCATTTCCAGGCACAGTCAGTGTTTCAGGTAAGACGGCGCTAACACCCATGTTCAAATGGTTCCACTTGTTTCACCCAGAAATGGTTATTGCATTAGAAGTTGCCCAGAGGCAGACACTGATGTTACAGGCTGCTGTCTCATGTCTACTAACTACGACCATGAACAGGTACACAACAAATATCCAGAGATTCAGAGAAGCTTTTGGCCATGTGGGTATGATACCCATACTTTTGAAACTAAGTGGGTATTTCCAACTTAAAGTGGGTATCTATACTTTTAGATACCCACCATCTTTTCAAAATACGGGTATTCATTTCAAATAAGTATAAGATGTGTGACATTTTCTATTCAATAATAAAATAACCCAAAATCCTTCTAACAATGCTGGGGCAGTGGGGTAGTCTAGTGGTTAAAGCGTCACGCTGTCACGCCGAAGACCTTGGTTCGATTCCCTGCATGGGTACAATTTGTGAAGCCCATTTCTTGTGTCCCCCGGCCGTGATATTGCAGGAATACTCAGTCAGTCGTCCTGACAATGCTAAGTTATGGCTATTACAGCTTTATCTACTTGTGCTGTAAGAAATAATATGTGCTGTAGTCTACATCCGTTTTGGTGTAAAACAAGGTAACAAGATGGCTATTAGATGATAAACAGCCATGTCTTCACTCTAACAGGGTTTTTTCCGAAACCTTGTAGGGGGCTGTGGGGTAGATTAGTGGTTAAAGTGTTCGCTCGTCATGCCGAAGACCCGGGTTTGATTCCCCACATGGGTACATGTGAAGCCCATTTCTGGTGTCCCCCAGCCGTGGTATTGCAGGAATATTGCTTAAAGCTGTGTAAAACCACACTCCCTCACTCCGTCAAAACCTTATTCCCATTGTGTTGTTTCACTTCCACGCCGCGAATAGCTAATGTTACAAGTTCATTTAAAATATCCCTGGCAATTTATTCTGATTGTGAAACACAATACTTGCCTATTAATTCAACTGGCAGTCCTCTAATGAAGTTGTATCCTGTTCGCAAAGTTTAAAAAAAATTAGATATTCTACTTTGAGCGTATGGAAGCCATTATTGATTCGTTTACAGGACGTGTTGAAAGAAAACAGCTATTTGATTGATAGCTGTTTATAGATTGATAGCTGTTTATAGATGGGCCAATCAGTTAAGGGTTAACAAAGCATTATTTGTATTTATCTGCATTGCACTTTTTAATTGCATTTAGAATTATTCAAGATTCTTTTAATCGGGAATATTTAGAGATAGAAAAAAGTTTGACTGGCTTGAATTGATACGATATGCAACATGGTTTTGATGTACTCATTGTACTGAGTAAATACGCATTGTTATTTTGACAAAGCGTAAATGTAAATATTTAGGGATTTTTCATACGTTGGCATTTATTTTACTTGCGTATTTCAACTTTTCTATAGCGTATTATACGCTTATCTGGAGCTCTGAATAATTGTTGTGAATACCCATTAAATACCAAGTATGGAGAATACCCATTAAATACCAAGTATGGAGAATAACCATTATATACCAAGTATGGAGAATACCCATTATATACCAAGTATGAAGAATACCCATTATATACCAAGTATGAAGAATACCCATTAAATACCAAGTATGGAGAATACCCATTATATACCAAGTATGGAGATAACCCATTATATACCAAGTATGAAGAATACCCATTAAATACCAAGTATGAAGAATACCCATTAAATACCAAGTATGGAGAATAACCATTATATACCAAGTATGGAGAATACCCATTATATACCAAGTATGAAGAATACCCATTAAACACCAAGTATGGGGAATACCCATTAAATGCGAAGTGTGGAAAATTTTGTCTAGCTCAGTAGTACCGTATATGACTGTCTATAAGCCGAATTTTGAGGACCAAAAAAAGCAGTCTGTAGAAGGGGGTCGTCTTATCCATGGGTTACGCTTTCGACAAACTTTTTTCCAGGGGTAAGAAAACAACATCGTATCACTGCGCGTGAACAAACAACAGAAGACGACTTTGTCAGTAGAGACGTCAAATTTGCAATTAAACATCACTAGACAAGATTATTTATCTTTAAGTTATAAGTTTTTTTTGCTGGTCATTGTATTATTTGCAGGGATTAAGATTATCGTGTGTATCTGAGCCGGAAATAGCAATCAGCTGTGCACACGTTTCCCGGCGAACAAGTTCAAACATGCACAATAATATAACGGGATGAATTCTGACACAGTCATCAGTAAAATATAATACAGAATACTATTATTTAACCCAAAGAAATATATCCTAGCATTGTGTAATTTTAATTACAGTTTTTATGTAAAATATATATGATCAACACTAAGGTTATACGGACCCTCATGAACGTGGTAAGCAGAAGTTGTACGCACATGGAATGGGGTAAAATACGGAAGCCATTTAAATTCACACATTTTTACCGATGTTACTGTATAGCAGTCAATGGAAAACGAGGCGGTAATCAGTTCGTGATTGTTAAATGGGGTAAAATAAGCAAGCCAGTTTGTTGCTACAATAAATATGATATTTAGAGAAGCAAAATATATTATGCATTTTCTGTCAACTAAGCGCTTCGTTTCGATCCGCGAGTAGACACAAAATATATGACTGTGAATTCTTTGAATAATGTGGACCAAAGTTATAATTATTGGTAACTGCCAGTTGTCTGTGGTCTGTGTTTGCCTCGATTAGGACCCCATCGCGGGGGATCGACTTATGCACGAAACATACCATTTTGACACTGATTTTAAGGGTCAAGTTTGGGGGTCGTCTTATCCATGGGATTGTCTTATAGAAGGTCATATACGGTAATTGATTTGGACAAGCTTGGATTCACTGTCAAGTCATGATTGATTTGATCCTGGGATCGCTGGTTTCGATGCCAAACTTTCCCTGATGCTTGATTTGAGAGTGACACATCGTTGTTTGTGATGGTCATCAATGTGTTGAAAACCTGCATCTCTGTGTCTATTCTAGACTAAGGCTTAGTCTCTGAATATATATAATTTTGATAGTAACAAACAAGCCCATTTATATTGAAAAGGAGCCCTAGGGAGACCAGAGATTCAGAACCTGAGGAAATCTAGACTTGCGTTATTTAGGGCTTTAGCACTGCAGATAGGGCTTGGCAGTAGGGAACATAATGTGGTTCAGGGACTGTGAGACAGACTATGTCTATTCCTTCTACAGGTTATGCACCATAATTTGCCTGAAAATGTACTGAAAGCTGGTTGTCCTGTCTGTGTCTGAATTTGTATGTCAAATATTTCATTTGAAATTCTAAAATTCTAACCCTATTTTAAAAGATGTTTCATTTTTTGCTTATAAGATATGCATGTGTTAGGTCATTATTTACAGAGGAAAAGAACGATTGATCGTTTAAAATATAAGATTGAGATAAATCCATTTTTCTCTACAATTACCTAGTTCCTGTTTGGGATACTTTCATTAAGTCATTGCTTAATCATATGGTGTCCTACAAATCACTGAATGTTATTATTTTGTTGTGAGGGTTCTTTTTTAGTGAGTATTGTTACATTTGACCACTTTCTAAATGGCATTGTGTATTCATAATATAGCTATGGCCATGCAAATTTCAGTTGATTACAGACAAATTAATACAGTCCTGAGACATGTACACCAAACAGCTGACATGAGACATCGCCACAAGTTATGAAATTAGTTTTGACATTGGATAACACTTTTGAGGCCTAATAAGGCAAATTTTATGTAAATGTGCTAAACCTAATTTGATTGATGATGCCAGATAGCTAAAGCAATTAAATGAGTAATGCAGTAACTACTCCAAACTTGCTGATGGAAGTACTAGCAGATGATATGACAGTTCTTTGGCATGTTGGCAGACATGCCTTGATACACAGACCTATATCCCATGTGTTTTGAATTATACGTAGCATCTGTCAGCACACTTTTTTGTTTTAGACCTATGAAGATCTGGGTTTGAAGTGACCCATGCTTGTCATAAGAGGTGGTCAGGCTCGCTGACTTGGTTGACACATGTCATCGTAACCCAATTGTGCAGATCGATGCTCATGTTGTTGATCACTGGGTTGTCTGGTCCCAACTCAGTTATTTACAGACCGCCGCCAAATAGCTGGATATGTGGCTAAAGGTGCAGATTAATATTAACAGTTAACTTTACAAACTTTCAATCTTCAGTCATCAAACAAACAAGCAAATCATTGGCCAGTCTTCTACAACTAGTACAAGGTAAACAAGTGGACCATTTAAGTAAACATACCAAGGTTTATGGCACCAGGACCTGAATGGACAACTGGTGCCTATAGGTATTTGATTGTCTCAGAGATTTTTACACACCAATGTTTAGTTGTGACATATTTCCCCAAAGTAAAGAGATTACAGCTAACATGTAGCAGCAGAAATAGAATGATCAGAAGTTACGTTCTGGTTACCAAACTGTTTCTTGTACATCTGGCTTTGTGATTTTGATTTCTTTTATTAATTTTGTTCAAATTTCATAATTTACATTAAAACTGAATGTGATTTAAGCCACACCTTGTATCTCGTTATTTGCTGTATGTACAAATATGTTCTAATTGCAGATTGGCTCATCGCAGTGACTTGTCAGACATGTACTTTGATATGTGATTGTAACATACCATAGTGCTTCCATTATGATTACATTTCTATATGATATATTTCTAGTTTGGATGTATTTAGAAATAGCAGAAACTAGATTAACTGTACGTTACAATATTAAGTTTAGATGAATAAATTTCATGACAAACAATTTTTACAGCTGGTTGCTGTTTCTGACTTACATGACAGTTACAGATGACAACCTTAATCACTGCATATAAAAGAAATTCCTGGCTTGACGGATTGTAATATATCATAAATACTGAAGTGTGTTTGGTGTCTTCCTACATCCGTGTGTGCCCGCACGCAACTTGCGCTCAAACACACAAAATCTATTGGTCATCCCATCCTACAAACCAAAATCCTTTGGATACTGATTGTTCTCTTACACTGTATCTGTGCTTTGGAACTCTCTCCCATGTGTCATTAAAAGCTGTTGCTATTGACATTTTTATGTCCAGACTTAAAACCCACCTTTTTTCAGCACATTACTTATAATTTCAACTGTAAATACTCCACTGTGAATATTCTGTAGCGCTTTGAACATGCCTTTGGGTGTGGTATAGGCGCATTTTAAATATAGTAATTTATCTTATAGATTTTAGTGACCAAGTGGAGGTCTCCTATGAACATCTGTTGATGACTGCATAGATAGATCTTTGATAACCTAGTACATAATGAAAGAACAGGTGTCAAAGTTTTGTTGCTTTACTTCCATGATTTATGACCTGATATATCTTGATTCGTTATCAAACCAGAATTATACTGGTGCTATGGCCTAATTTCATCTTCAGGCATGTTATGCCATTGTTAATTATCTGGGATTTTGTCTGATGTATGATTGGATGACAACCAAGGTGAAGGTCACTGAACTAGGCAGGAAATGGTCATGTACATGATAACTTTATGATTTGAAATTGCTTGCGTACATAAATATCATCCTCCGGGTGGGGAACGAAATTGGTTTCTTTTTGTTTTGAATGTCAAGTTCTCTTGAATGTAACCTGTTCTGCTTCTTTCTGGGGTAAAACAAGCCACTGTTTGTTTGAGGAGCAGCTTGAAATTATGAAGAATGTGTGTGGTAGAAGTGATGGGTTGAGGTCATTACACTGAAAGTGGGTATAATTTTCTTGTTCTTGTTGCAGCAATGGGTATCCCTGTGCATAAATATCCCCTCATTGTGTACTTCTGAATAACAACACCTTCACAAATGATCTACTTTCATTTGTTGAGAGGATTTTCTATAGCGAGGGACAGAAATATATTTTGGTTAAAGTATGGCTCAGACTCATTAAAAGAGATTAGGGTGCCCTTTTTAATTAGAAAATGAATGATATTTTTCGCACTTTTATGACCTTTGTCGATGTTCCACCGAGGCTAGATATTAGTGGTTGTAATTTTGAAGATTTGCCTCCTGTTTTTGCAGAGAATAATCATTCCATTTGTCATTTCTAAATGCCCGCATTTGGTTTACTTATGCCACAAGGTTTTGTTGTTAGCCTGGTTAAATAAATATCCGAACTGTTAGTGTAGTTGTGTTTATAGGGGTATGAATCTAGTTGAAGATGCACTATATAGCTCATTACATTTATTTCTTCCAGGGTCAACTGCCTCCCTTCTCCTCAATCATGCCGTTTCGATCGCCAGTAGGAACATCATTTTCCCCCAGCTTGTCTGCTCCTCTCAGCATGTACACATCGTCACCTATCACATGCCTCCCTGACCAGCCCGAGATGGGTCTTCTACGGCCCCAGTACTTCCCCAGTATGAGCTTGGCAACACAACTTAAGCTTCCCGAGCAGACGTCACCCGTGTCAACACCTACTGGCACCACAGAAAATAATGAGGTGGTGAGCACAACCAGCCATGGCCAGATCCGCAAATATAGCACTGAGTCCCATAACTCGCCCCCAATTTCCACACTAGATGCCCAAGGAGATGCCAACAGCAAGACGGATCAAGATGCTGACACATCCCAGAATGCAGGGGGACTGAGTGAGTCCAGTGACAGCGGCTCCCAGACTCCTGATGGAGTGGAAAACGGAGGAACTGATGATGCCCAGCCGTTGGCCATCGAGAGGCAGAATCTCAACACTCGCATGATGCCATCTTCCTCAAGCGGACGTAAGCAGCGTCACCCCATGCGACGTTACAGCAGCAGCGCCAGCAGCGAGCAGGAGATGCCTCAGTCGACTTCCTGCCTTCCCACCAACATACACACCAATGGGATGAAACTGCCTGCGGAGCCGAATGACGCCGAGGACGTGGCGCTGGTGTCTTATCTCCTGTGGAAAGGTAAGGTCTACAAGTGTGAACACTGCCACATCATTTTCGATGACTGCACCCTGTACCTTCTCCACAACGGCTTCCACTCTCATGACTCCGACCCCTTCAAATGTGTCATCTGCAAACTCTCTTGTAAAGACCGCATCGACTTCAACTGCCACCTGACAAGTCACATCAAGTAAACACAGCATCACAGTAACAGGAAAAATACTTCAAATATTTTTGACTGCTAGTTTTTTTCAAACTATGTAAGGTGGTGGACCACATATCACCATGCTTTTGTTCATCTAATGATTTGATATATTTAGTGTTTTTTAATTCTTCACTTGGACCACAGGTTGCTAAAACAATTCTTGGTAAATCATTCATTCATGAAAATGATTATCACTTTTGTACTGATAGACGAATTGTATTATTGTCTGTTCGACAGACTCTAAAAGATGCCATAGCCAAAACAATATGATTATTCCATTGGCCATGAAAGCTTTATTTATACAATTTTGAAGTGCTTTTATCATGTTTTCATGTTACATTTGTGTAAACATTTATTGTTTGTATTCACCAAGTATGATTCTCCAAATCTTGAACAAGAAATGTATTTTTATTGGAAATCTGTGAATACTACTGTAATTTCAATGTGCAGGGTATTGTGTTTACGAGCGCATGTCAGTGTAGATAAATATTTACATATATTCATGTAGAAACAGGACCAAGCATGAAGTATTTATTGTTTCTTTCCAGATTCAACATAAAAAGGTTAAGTGCATTTGGTTATAATTTCAACATTTGATAAATTTTTGCATAAATGAGAGCATTATATATTAAGCTGCATTCATAATGTTTCATAATACTCATTGACATATCTGCACCTCATCTCCTGTCTTCTAGACGGGATTTTATGTGACATCACTCTTGTCTGTCTTCTGTATCAAGCATTTCACATTTTTAAGAGGTCTTGAGTCCTCTTTAAAATGCCTATTGAGAAAAAAAAATCAAACAAATTTTGAAAATGAAACCTCAGTCTCAGATGCACTGGCACACAGCAAGGATACTGGGTGAAAATGATTCATTGTGACATATTTCCTTTTTCTACTGCATGTTCATGTGCAATGTGAAGGTTTGGGATATAGGTGTACTGTGTTATCATGTAAACCCAGCGTGTGTGGCTGCTCGCCTGTTTCAGTCTGCCAGTACAGCACTGTGTTGCCACCACTCAGAATGTACTCACTGCTCCTTCTAGTCAACATTGGCAGTGCCATCAATGTCAGTCTTGTTCAAGGTTTTCAACAAATGTTATTTTGCATTCAGAACTGATGTAGGAAAGTAGGTGTTTGGTATCATTGGGTTCTACTCTGTGGTAGAAGTTCTTACTGCATTTGATTTGTCGGCAGAGACCTGAGTATCAATTAGAAACTGTATATAGGAGTACCTGTGCTGTAGAATCATTCTCTTTTGGAGTTACTTTCGCGGTATCAAGTTTGACATGCCTGTTTGGAAGAACATCATCGTGATGTTGTTCAGTTTGTCCGTGGACCAAAGGCAGGTGTGCACTGCAGTTGACAACATAGGCGAGATACATCAGTTCCTGAACACGTGAAGGAAGTCCTTGGTGGGATACCTACTCTGGGGATTCCCATCATTGAGGATGCTAGATGCTGCTGCCATCATTATAAACGGGCTACAAATGCTGTGAGATGTTTATACAGACACTGTACTGTCACTGTTTGTGTTCTGGCCGCCATGATATTACTCCTAAGGCTGCTGGCTGTATGTACAATATTGTACACTTATATATATTACCGTCAATGGTACATTTGCCAGGAAATAGTTTTCTTCAATATTCTTTATCAGCCTGTTTAGTTTGATGAAAGTGTTGACTACTTAGACCTTGATGTGATTGTGTTGTGGGTATATTCATGTATAGCTAGTGAGGCCAGCTCCTCCCCGGGGCTGATGCAGGGGCACCTGCTGCGAAGGGGTGCCCCCTTCAGCACCATACTTATGTATATAGTGACCATAGATGAGGTGTGGGACAACACACCAACACACGTCATGTAGTGGGGCTGCCATTACACATTGCAACGGATTCAAATGTCAAAAATTGTTATATGCCAAAGATCAAAAGAAAAGCTTTATACTGAGTGTACTTACTATTTCCTCGCCGCACAAATTCCAGTTGTCCGTGTCAGTAAAACAGGGGACTAGTTACCTACTTACATTTAATACAGTTATGTTCTTCAAAGTCAAAGTGTTTGGACCAAGTCAGAAGACTGAGTGATAGTTTGATATTTTCATATACATTGTACATGTATAGATATGCATGCTTGCCAGTGTGAGGGCCGAGTGCCGACCAATAGATCTGACACTTTACAAAGTAATTGGGCAGTGATCAATATTGTTTATCATTCTTTCGTCAGTCAGTCACCTCAAAGGTGAACTTTTATATATAATCAAAGTTACATTTAATTTTCCTATATGATATTATGGGTTTAGTAACAATTTATGTTATTGCCCCATTTATTTGGGCATTGTGTGTCAAGAATATATTATATATTTTATGGATGTATTTAGCAGATACCATGTACATGTAGGTATTTTTTGTAATCTGCCTGCTTTTGATTATATTATCATGCAATAGATATACGTGATTACTCTGATTGTCCAGAATCAAAATTCTTGAATGTGATTGTGAGGCCCCTGCTGCTGCTGCTGCTGCTGATGTTGTCTATGCTGCTGCCTGGATAATACGGGCCGACACATAGCGGAGGGGGAGTACATGGCTAGGACCAGGCTCCAGTGTGTGGCAGATGTCCGACCTATCTGCATCACAGTGGTGGCCAGCATGTGTTGTCTCATTGTGTACTGGACATGGCAGTGTTGGTAAGTAAATGTGTGACGTGAAGGATGACCTCGGCATCACCAGCAGCAGCACCAGCAGCAGCACCACCAGCACCAGCTGCAGCAGGAGGCCTCATCCTCCTCTTCCTCCTCCTCCTACTTTCCCAGTGTTCTCTCTGCCAAGCAGCAAACACAGGCCAGCTACACACCTTACACATATTAGTGTACACATGCTTAAAGCAATTATGTGTAGTGGTGTTCTAGCAATATACACTGAAGTTGTTGTGTGAGCAGGCCTCCACTGGTCCGAGTCGCCATCCAGAAGTGTGTCCAGTCACTATAAACCCCGGCAGAAGGGCCACCAACCCATCCCTTGCTGACAACTGGCAGTTGATACACCACTACTCCCAGACTTAGCGTAAAGAGTGGGTGCCACTCACGTGTGTCCCGTACATTCAGTACTTATAACACATCTATTCTATGAAACTTTGTGTGCCACAGTAAATTGTATCTGGTTGGTAATCTCCACATATCTGTAGCAGTGGCGAGTGTCCTCCTTCATGCCTAGCTTCATGCTGTGGAGGAAATCGATCGAACTGACTGAAAATATCTGTGCTTGTGAAGACTTTTATCATCATATACAAATTGTTTTTTAATATTTTTTGTACGTCTTTATGTCTCTGTGGATAAATATATAAATATGAGATACAATATTTTCAGTTGGAGGGTTTCAAAAGTAATTTGGAGATTAAAACCAACTTAGAGCCCCTTTTCCAGCTGCGTGTTTAATGGAAGGTCATTGAGTGACCTTGTGTCTCTGTCCGTCCACTTCAGTTGATGCCAGGTAAGGTGATCCTGGTGGCCTCTTCTCTATGTACTGGCTGGTGACTCTGGACAGTGTGCCAGCCTTTCATTGTGATTTAAAGATCATCATGCAACCAGCTAAGTCCATCATGTTTTTTATTGAAAGCAATATATTATATGGCCAGTCTTGTATAATGCCTTTACAGGACTCCTGTCAGTCTTCTCCAAGCCATGCAGATGAAGCTTCAAGCTACAGCAATACTAACCATGCCTACTTTATCTCTATTTTATCTGTGGTGCTGGATCAACAATTACATTTGTCTCATAGTTATATTATTTGTGTAACATGACATATATATATATCTATATATATTTCCAGTTTTTGTCTATTTTAAGTGAATGGTGACATCCTAGCTGACTACCTAGTAGTGGTGTCACATGTTGGTTAGTGTTAAGACTGCTACTGCTAGCTAGATGTGTTGTCTTGTGTAACTGTGGCCGTCTGTGCTGTCATCCTGCCCCATCACCTATACAGCTTTGCAGCTCTCCACCTCTTGGGTTGACCTTGCCACACCCTACTTGAAGCTTGAAGACTGTTCCCCATTTGCTGTTGCAAACTTCCTCACCCTATGTGCCCAGTGCTTACCTGCTCTGTCCGACCCTATCTTTATACCTGCCAGGCAGCCAGTCTCTACCCTTTATGCAAGTACATATTGTAGACACAGTTCCATAACATGTTACATGTCAAGGTATACCAGCCCATAAGGTAGAACACATTGTATCACTCCATGCTATAAGGTAGGACACATTGTATCACTCCAAGCAATGAGGTAGGACACATTGTATCACTCAAAGATATAAGGTAGGACACATTGTATCACTCCAAGCAATGAGGTAGGACACATTGTATCACTCCATGCTATAAGGTAGGACACATTGTATCACTCCAAGCTGTAAGGTAGGACACATTGTATCACTCCAAGCTATAAGGTAGGACACATTGTATCACTCCAAGCTATAAGGTAGGACACATTGTATCACTCCAAGCAATGAGGTAGGACACATTGTATCACTCCAAGCTATAAGGTAGGACACATTGTATCACTCCAAACTATAAGGTAGGACACATTGTATCACTCCAAGCTATAAGGTAGGACACATTGTATCATTCCAAGCTATAAGGTAGGACACATTGTATCACTCCAAGCTATAAGGTAGGACACATTGTATCACTCCAAGCTATAAGGTAGGACACATTGTATCACTCCAAGCTATAAGGTAGGACACATGGTATCACTCCAAGCTATAAAGAGGTAGGACACACTACAGCAAACCACATCTTAATGTACGACACTTTACTGAAGCCCATCCCATAAGACAATAAACCAGTTAGTACTATGCATGAGATGCATTGACACACCCTGTCAATCGTAGTAATTGATGCTATTTCCTCCTTGTAAACCCCCTTAACAATATCATGCTGACATTTTAGAAACAATACCATACCTTACTCTACACAACCCCCCAAACTGATTTACTCCTTACTAGACAATCCATCCCGACAGCACCACCTCTTACTCCATACCAACCCACTGGATGATACTTTACCTTACTGTAACAAAAAAAAAGTCTCAGAAAATGCCTCATGCTTTACTTTCCACAAAAATGTTTTCAACATCTGGACATCTTCTTCCACAAAACTATGTTTGTAATGGCACTACACCTTCTCCACACACATCTCACCAGGCAGCGCTGCGGTCTACTCAGACCTGCACATCCTGTCCACTTAATGAGCAGGTGCTCCAACACACCAACATTGGCCACTGCATCATGTAGTATGTAACCTGGCCTGTATCCACTCACTCACACCCCTTGTTCATTAACCGATGTTGAGTCATGAAGCACATGGAGAGGTGGGAAAACACCAATGTTATTAAATACAGCTTTATTTAGTGTGCTGGTACACATTATACACATTTACCAAAGATATTCTTTCCGAGATATGTGCACAGATTTCCCAAGGCAATGTGCTTACTGACAGCAGGCATCTGCAGCAGACACCTACACCCCATCTCCCACTGTGGTGTTGCCTTCCCCTTCCCTCCTCCTGGTGGCGGGGTACCTGCACCACTACGCCAGTAACCCATGAGTGAATGGAGTCACCATGAAGTTAGCTTCCCCAAGAATGTTGTCCATGCAGGCATGCAGGTGTTTTTCAGCTTTGAGCATATCTGTGTTCCTGTGTTCTACATGTAGTCATGAAGCAGTCTTCTTCCGGGTAAGTAACACAATGAGCTGACAGTCAATATGTTTCATAGACTGAAGATATATGTCTTAAATATTTCTCAGTAAAGAAACAGACATTGTTATCAAGTTATTGGATCCAAACTGACTAAGTTCATACATTCCAGATTACAAGAAGGATATCTGTTCAGTATGTTAGTCTGTTTTGAACAGTGTTGATCAATGAAAAAATTCCATGTTCAAGAATATACCATTCAGATAATACCGATTCTGCAGACTGTATTAGCATGCTTTCCTCCTTAACTAATTTGGCATGTTACATTAAGACTTATTTGCATTGTAAGCCTCAGCTTATATGGATCTTCATGGAGGGACAGTGATGTTTATGGACTTCAGATGCTGCATCCAAACACAGTTTTCCTTGAGATATTTACACTTTTAAAAAGTTCAAATTTTAGGCTATTCATTGGCTTCTTGGAAGTCTTTTTGTCCACAGTAATAAAAAGTGGATGTTACATGGTTGCTTTTTTCAATTAAATAAAGAACATTTAAAATGGGGTAAACTGTATGTATCATTGTGTAGATTTTTACAATTCTTGGAAATGGTGCTGAAGCATTCATATGTCAATGCCAACATCAGTTTGAAGTGTACAGCTTTCAACAACAACGTGTAAACTGTCAATGTTTTTGAGGAGAAAAAGTTTCCAGATGTTCCTGTATAATTTTTGTGTTGTAGTTGGACCAAATTTATTTTCTTTATTGACAACTGATTATAAATATTATTTTGAATGATTGAAACTCATGATTTTGGGTCTAGATGGAAGTGTGTGTCACATTTCAAGTAATGAAAACAATTACAAGAAAGCGGCTCAGATTGGAAACTAATATTTGGGTGTCATCGTGGGAGGCATGTCTGTAAAAACGTTTCTTTAACACGCTGCATGCCCTTTTGTAACCAACGAACAAATACGTTTGACAGATTTGTAATTATGAGTTATTCGTAACTCTGTAGAACTGTTGACTATGTTTGACCACTTTCAGGTGGAAGTATGCCTATAAAACGTGTGACAAATTTGTTGAAATGAATCACATAAGGAGGCTGAGATATACTCTATTACTATGCAAGCACAAGGCCATTCCATGTATCAGTGTAAGTGACACAGGATCGGGGATAAGTTGATAGGGAGCAATCGCCAGTGCTTGTGGTGGATTTTCAAACAAATCCATGCTTGGCTTTCCTGAAAGTGTAGAAGAACCCTGACATTTATTTACAGCATATTGTTACTACTGATGTGTCATGACTATTTCTGTGCTCTTCATCTCTCAGAATGATATGATGTGCAGGTCACTCTTGATCTGCAACAATCTGTGCAGGTAACAACCGATTGACCATGAGTGGGCACAGAAATGGCGTTCATGGAATGTTACTCTTGAAGCAGATACTTGACGTTAAGAGTTTACTTGCAGGTAGTAAGATGGGGGGTCAGGGTAGGTGTGAGACGGGCAGACAGAGGATGTGGTAACTGAAGGTAGTGACAGGAAGATATGGATGTTTGGGATTTAGCTGTATACCTTGATGGTGGGAGACTTTTGGGACATAGTTTCATCTCCCATATTAGTCAGCAGACACTTTATTTGCTTTGAATTGTTCATTCAACACTTGAAGATTTAACCTGAAATTCATTGCTAGTATTATCTTCATATTGACTGAGGATTGCATTCCTCTCAAGTGAGCATGCCCTTCCTACTGCAAGGCAATCGGTGGCCGTTCTAACTGTAGTCTCCATTGAAACTGATTTATTCACAAGGGTGTGCTGGTTGAAAAGTAAGAAGCTGGAATTAAAAACAAAATCTGGTGTATTGATGATAAGAGCATGTCAATTAGCTGACGTTACATCCAATATCTTTCTTTCTGATTTCAGTGTATCAGATCCCGTCTCTGGCCCACCCTAGTTCAGCCCAAACATAGATGCAATACTTTGTTATTGATAGTTTAAAGGGTATTTTGTTAATAAGCAAGTGGTTTGAAATCTTCTGATGTCGCTGTAAGGGGAATAGGTTGGCATGGTGTTTGGGGATCAGTGGTTGATCTGTACTCATGTTTTGTTCTGCAGTCAACTTTTACATGTTCGTATTGCTGCTTTTTGTCTTGATGCATTTTGCAAACTGTTCCTCTGTGTATTACAATATGTTGGTGCTACATTATCATGCCATTTATTATTCTACAATATATATCATAGTAGGGGAGGGTCTTTATATAGGGCTTCATAGGTCTATATCATATTTGTGAATTTTGTATTTAAAGTTGTGCCTTTAGTTGAGAAATTCTACTTTTGTACACGTGTTAGTTTCAATGACTTGTTTGCGTGCAGACCTAGTCTGTATGCCACATATATGTAGAGGTTGTAGGTATTTTGTTCTGCTCTGGGACTGTTGGACTGGGAGTCAGTCTTTCCCCAAACTGTGAAGTATTGCCCAGCACTGCTGCTACTGGCATACTCAGTCCAGGGCATGGTGGAAGACAAACCAGTCAGTCTGTCTCAGACATTTATTTTCAGTGGTAGTCCTTATGTTTAAGGGTCTAACCCTGCAGCTTGTGAGTAGACAAGTTCTTGTTACAGATGCAACCTATATTTTGACAGGCTTTGAGTGCAACAATTGCACACCACTGTTGTCTCTTGGCATTTTGCCCACACATGTTAAGGGTTCAACCCTAGTTACGCCTTCCAGTGCTACCGATATTGTTGTCTTCTTTATAGATCTGAATCAAAATCATGTTTTGTCCAATTGTAATATTTCAGTGATAATAATTGTGCACGAGCTATTGTCAAAATTGAAATATGTTCCACATATGACTGTTTTAGTGCACATTGGTGACTGATAGTATTGTCTTGCAAGTATTCCCATGAGACTGCCGTGGCATGTTGGACTGGCAGTAATGTCAGCACAGATAGTATACCTACAAACATCTTAGTAGCATGCTTTACCCCGCTCAACATTGAAAAAATCCCATTGTTTTTGTTATTGAAACTGATTATGATACCTATTTTACATGAAATGTTGCCTGATTTCGATCTGCTTGTGAATGTAAGCAAGCTGCACCTGGCTGTCCCAACATGCCACCCTGTCTCCACCACCACAAGCCACCCGGCACCTGGATACAATCAACAGCAGGCACAGACACACTCCCACACTCCAGCCTTCAAACTAACAATACTTCTCCTCAACTTCCTCCAATCAAAAGCATTTTAGAATGATAATTAGAATTATCATTTTTTAAAAAGCATAAGGCCAGACAATTTTATTTCTTGTTTTATTGATATTTGTCCTCAGAAAACCTAAAGGAAGGGGGGAGAGAGAGGAAGGGGGGAGAGAGAATATATAAGAATCACCAGTCAAAGTAATATTCCTTTTAAATACTAAAAGTATTTTACTTTTGGCAATTTATGAA